AAGTTAAAAAGTACTAGTCCACAGGATATGGTAACTTTGACTCCATTGGTTGAGTTAATTCAACTCATTGAAAACAACAGTCATAATAATCAGCACTATTTAGTGATTAGTACTTTTTGTTTCATGGTTTTAGCGCATACACTATATTACTTCAATCAGTATAAGTTATATAACAACTGAAAAATATTAGCTCAGAAATTAACTCACCAGCTAAAGACAATCGTTTCCTATGGCCCGGGACCATTACATCTAATTTATCCAGCATATATTCAAAGTCTGTAACTCGATTTAACTTCAGTCTAACGTCTTTTAGGATTTTTAAATCCTCGTCTTCAAAAGACTGTTGGTATTGCTTTAASTTGTGTTCTTCTAGCCATAGCTTGACTGGAAGTTCGTCRACTAGAGTTAGGAAAGAAAAAKATATCAGAGTAGCCAAGGTTSAGCGACCCAAGTGCAAGGATCAGGGATGTTTAGTGAGTCACAGAAAATACACAGGGAATTTATTGATAAATAGAATTTATAGCAAAAGGAAATACATGGCAACTTATTCCTTATAGTTTACTGTAATATCTTAAAAACGCTTTCTGTGAGTTTGCAGTAAGCGCTAACAATAATGACTTGTTCTGTCAACTGGACCTTGTGGTTGAGATATCTGAGCAAAGTGTGCTGCAAAATGGTGACCTACTRACTMACATTTCTTTATTTATCATTTATTTTAAAGTTTATRCATATATCCCACAAATAATGTGGAATATATGTTAAAATGGGTGCCWTTGGTAAAGAGGAACACTGAACYCCATGATATKGTCTCAAGAAGAAACATCACTAACTGACTCAAAAACCCTACATCCTCAACCCTCATCTATATAATAAACGTTATACTAGCAAACGATAAGTCAGGTATCTAAATACTAGTAATGARCATTATCTTCTTTTTTAGAGAATATAATATAGACAGAGAATATGTTCATTATAAAAATGATTTTATAGTAAAGAGTCAAAATGACTTACTTAGACCTTATTTCACTAGGGATATGAAAACGTTTTCTCTGTGTGCTACAAGACTTGCAGCCAAAGTGTGCTGCAAAATGATGGGCTATATGTTCTTTTCCCTCTTTCTTTTTTATCAATGCATACGATTATATTTACATCCCGCAGTCAGTGTAAAAATAGAAAAACAACAGAACAATGTCTCAACCATCAAAGGTGGCAACAAGACAAACTGAAATTGGAACAAACCTCTCAAAATCCCTCACATTGATTATAACCGTTTTAGGTATCACCTAAGGTATAGGCACCATCACGTTATCTAAACAGTATATATACTAGGCCAACATTCCCTAACAACGCACGAGGCCAATTTTTAGTGTATCAAAAACGTTTTCTCTGGGGAGTGTTCTTCAAGTCTCAACCTAGTGGTCAAAAGCTATATGCTCAGATATGAGAGCAAAGTGTACTTATAATATGACAAAATAAACTCATTTATAAACATATTAAGTGTAAGGGGATAAGGATACAACTCATAAATAACAGAAAATAACAGAAATAACGCGCGAAACGCATCGATTTTCACCATTGGTCGATGCGATGAGCGTTGGAAGTCGAAACGTCACGGTGCTCAAACCCATGACTTTCACCACAAGACAAATGATTTGACTGAATTTATTCTCATAACTTTAATTTCTCACAATAAATAATTCATTTCACTTATAATTAACACATTTTTGGGTCTTTATTATCCATTTATAAGTTTATAGATCAGTAGAAAGTGCGCAGTTTGGTAGTAATTGAAAACACCATGTGGCCACCAAGAATTCGTGTGGCGATCMRTAATTAAAATGGTTATTTTTTAAAAATAGAAAAAGTTACTAACCGAATGACAATATTGAAGTTTTGAAAGTTCTTTTGATCAGAGCACAAACTTTTACCAAGGAATACAAAAGAGAAACACTTTGATCAGAAAAAAAAAAGGAAACTGAATAAAATTGCACAAGGTCATATATACAGTGCTCAGTTAAGAGTTTGATCTCGTTCAGTTAGAAGCTTAGTCTTTTAATTTCGTTACACGACGAGTCACGAAAAAAGTATCCATGGTGTTTGACATTATGGAAGCATCAATAACAATTAAGACATATTAATCTAAACTTACCGGCTTTGAGGATGGCTTTTTTGTGTGTTTCATTTTGTATACATAAGCTTATTAAGTCTTGATTTGACAGTCCGAATAAATCACTTGTTTGTTCATATCCTTGGTTAATGAACCTCTCACAGTACTCTTCGAGCCCTAAATCTTTTAAAAAAGACTTAACACAGAACGAATTTTCCATAGCGAACTTCAGTTAACGTTAAAAATATACTGACTATTATAGTAGCCTTTGTCTGTACAATAATCACACGGGATAAAATGATTGGTCATTAACAGCCTTCTTGATTTCTATTGGGTGCACAGCGTGACATAACAAGGGACTCGCCTAGACTTGCCCGTAGAGATAGCGTCCTAGACTAGCATGACGTCATATATAAGTGTGTCACCTTTGTTTAAACAAATACAAGACTGATCTTGCCCAAATACAGGAACCCCAAATAAAGTCTCGCTGATATCATTTTATTTTATTTCTTCCTGTTTCTTATTATTTTCTTATAAAAAACACCGAATTTTATCGATGGTTGCTTTCGTTTTGTGCTGTCGAATCTGTACTATTTTCGAAATCAGCTTAAAGTTCGATCCGAAGCCGCTGGCTGCAGAAGTTATTCAAAAATCACTTAATCATACAAGATCTTAAGGTTTTGATCTGAAATTTGATCAGAAATATTACAATRATAGTCTAAAAATCAACATYCAAAWCAATATAGCCTGGGATCACGAAAAATAAATAAACATTGCGTGACAAGAATCYACCCAGTCTCCCGCGGTCAACACACAGCAGACCGCCTTGAACGCCTGGTTGTTTCTAATGCCAACTCGACAAGTCATTCACGAAASTGTTCAAACTTTTTAGGTATTTATTTGTGAAATAATATATCAATTGGATTAAATATGGAAAAYAATTGTAGAAATGGTCGTAAAGTGGCKTTAATCACAGGGATCACAGGACAGGTRAGRAGTAGAAAAACTGTGTTTGACATTTCTTGTCATCGTGGTTTTTGAYCGGCCCTGCTCTTTGAGAATCTTCTTCATGATATTTAACGATACTTCATCTAGATTTTTAGCTAATGTTWATAGATTTATACCGTGTAAGATAAATTGAGACACTTAAAGCAATATATTTACATAAACTTTAAGAGCTTCTCTAATCTCACCGAAATTGTACGCAGCTTAATTATACATATTGTGACATAAGCTTATTTTGGTTATTCAAGAATACTGAAATCTTATGGATTTTTGTATCTCTGACACATCAGAAGTTCATAATTCATTATTTTGTTATTTCGACATTCAAATAGTAATAGTTTTGTATAAATTCTTATCAATTTATCATGTAATCTTGAGATTCCTGTTAATGACTCTCAAAAACTTACACGTGTAAAGTCGATCAGAATATTAATCAGCCGTATTAGAATGATCGACTAGCCCATCCCTATAAAATCATATTACTAGTATATATTTTTTTTTTCTAGTAGCATATAAAGCATTTTAGCATTTTTTTTCATGTCCTCCAATGAAAGTTAAACAATCCTTAAATTATGGTTTGATGAAATTGAATTAGTAGTAAGTACTATTATGTAGATTTGTGGCGATCAAACTTCAAAAAATAGCTTCCTGTGCTTTTTATATATGCCAGAAACTTGGGGCCTGGACATATGATGGCATAACAGCCATCAAAAAGGGATAAAGTTGTATGATGTTATAAAAAATGAATTTCGGTGAACTTTTGACAATATTTTCACCAAATTCACATTAGATCCCTTACTAGGATTCTGAGCAGGATCCTGCATAGAGATATTGCACTTGATCGCATTCTTATGTAAGATCCTAAGTAGGAATAGGATTCTAAACAGGATCCTGTAGGATCTTGAATAAGATCTTATYCTGGTAAAGGAGCATATCCTAAGGATTTGCACCAGGGCCTCCTCTGCATGTCCATTGTAATATCTCCATTTATCAAACACACTTGCCCTGTGGTAACTTCAATCTGTCTTACATTGTATGAATAGGATCTTGAGGAAGAGTACTTTTTAAATAAAGAAGAAAGGTAGAAAAATTAAATATTCTATTAAAGTGGAAATTTTCATTTTTCATTTCAGGATGGCTCKTATCTTGCTGAATTTCTTTTGAAAAAGGGTTATGAGGTATGGTGTCTACTATATCACTTTGGCGTTTCATAAACTATCTAAGTCTACACAGTCAGACACAATTTTTTGTACTGCCTTAAAGAAAATTATTATGATTAAAAATTATTAATTGTGAAGTATTGTTAAGTGCAGCATAAGTCTGTAGAAATGCTTATACTGTAGTTCTAATAATTATTCAATCTCTGAAAGGTTCATGGTATTATACGACGTTCAAGCTCATTTAATACTGGAAGAATAGAACAYTTATATCAAGATCAATATACACACATGGGAGGAGGTAGGACACAATATTATCATTTTTTTAAATCTCCTCCTTATCATGCATTTAGTTATTGGCCAATCAGGTCAGTTGTCAAGTTTTACATACTTATATATTTTACTTGATACAAGCTATTGTTATTCATCATTTTCTTTATGTAGCACACTGATTCCTTTGTGTTTCATCCATTTCTTCATTTGTTTATTTTATTCACTGATATTCCTTTAAATCAGTACGTCCATATCTCAATGAAACAGGGTTTAAATGGTTAAATTAGAACCAATGAGGTARTCTCCTTCGCAGCCTCCCATTTTGTTGGGCTTCCTGTCCCTCTAGCAAGCCCAACAAAAGGGGAGGCTGTGAAGGAGACTATCCATGAGGGTGATAAACATTGAAGATAGTCAGCAATGTCAACAATTGCACAAGTTGGAAGTAGTGCCCAGTTTGAAACTTCAACTTCTGTCACCATTGTAATAAACATCATACAGTAAAATGGCTCATTTAATATTTCTCAGCAATGAAGACCCATTATGGAGATCTGACAGACAGTACAAACCTTGTGAAAATTGTTTCACAGGTAAGTGTTTCCATGAATATGACATATCTAGAAAATAGTCATGGGTGTAACTCCACTACATGCTGACAGAGGGGTGTCTGGTACCTTTATGCACACACTTCTGGATTAGCTCTTATGTAGTTTGAGTGCATGTCTGATAATAGGGTGAAAGCTATGAGCTGGTTAAGGGACAATAATTWTGTGAAAATGTCAGTTTGACTAGACAAATTATTGTATTTAAACCTTAGCTTTGATGGGTGTCATGTCCTCCGTGCTCACCTGTTTTTGCCCATGCTGTATATTTATATATAATGTYCTGTAATTGTCTGTCCTGTTTTAATTTTCATTGCCTTTTTATTGTTTACTTTTGTTTAGGTTCAACCAACTGAGATCTACAATCTTGGTGCACAGAGTCATGTTAAGGTATACTATTAGATAATATCCGTTAATAATAAATAGCAAGTTAGCTGTCCACTCATTAAGTATTTGATGAATGAAGTATTTTTCTGGTTAGGTTTCATTTGAGTTAGCCGAGTACACAGCTGATGTTGATGCTGTTGGAACTCTGCGATTACTTGATGCCATCAAAACTTGTGGGTTAGAAAAGTCTGTCAAGTTTTACCAGGTACATGTATGCATAYGTTGACTRCAAGCTGTCTCWGTTGTTACCAGAGTTATGTGTATAGGTTTACAGYCAGAAGCTCAATCTCCTCATGTTTTGAAATGAGTTTTTCTTTTTGTTTYATAAAGGCATCAACAAGTGAGCTGTATGGTAAAGTCAAAGAGATCCCACAAACAGAGAATACTCCATTTCATCCAAGGTCTCCATATGGTAAGAAAATCAGGGAGAAATGTTTCAATCAAGAGTTTGCTTTGCTGATACCTGCCTCACCTTGAAGTTTGTATCTATGCTGCGTGTAGGCATCCTGCATAGAAAGAACCTGCATAATGTAGATACGGTGTTGTAGTTTTTTTGCCATTTCCTTATTAAACAAGTATTCTTTAAACTGTCATACAAACAAACTGCACCAATTTTCTCACTTGACATCTCAACTTTTGCTGAAACACCCTTGCTAATAAATGGTCACCACTGCATGCTTTGTAAATCCCTATTGTCACCCTCCTGAATCTGAATTCAATGATAGACTATCAGTAGGTAATCACTCTATTTACATTTGATATTTCTCAAGGAGCTGCAAAGTTATATGCATACTGGATTGTAGTTAACTACCGTGAGGCTTATGACATGTTTTGTTGTAATGGTGTTCTGTTTAACCATGAGAGCCCACGACGAGGTAAATACTGGTCAACATTGTAATATATTTGTCTAATGCCATGCATTTGTGTAGATTATTGAAAGTTGTACACAGGATCCTAGACAGGATCCTGTYGGGATTCTACACAGGATCCTGGCAAGATCTTAAATAGGATCCTATGTACAAACTGAATTTTTCTTTAATTACAATGTAACTTTGTAGGTGAAACATTTGTTACCAGGAAGATTACTCGTGCTGTGGCAAAGATTCATTTAGGACTTCAGGACCATGTAATTACATGTATATACAGCTGATATCTTCATGTACCTTGCAAATTTTATCTGTCTGTACTCTTACTGTGTATGTCTGTCATTTGACTTTCTGTCTGTCGCACTGTTTGATAGTAATTGTTTGTCTGTATTGCCATGTCTATCTGCTGTCTGTCACTGCCTCACATTGTCTCTTTCCATCTGTCTGTCACTGTCTGTCACTCTATTACTGTCTGTCAGTAACTGTCAGTTTGGCGGATATCCATCTGTCGCTTTATTTGTTGTCGTATACTCACTCTTTGTTATCCTGAATGTCTGCTGGAATAAATATTACTATTACTTTAATTGTGTACATTTGGATCAGATGAACAAATAATGCAGAGATCATTAAATGGTGTATTATTTGCCTACTAGCTTCGTCTAGGTAATTTGGATGCAAAGCGTGATTGGGGACATGCAAGAGACTACGTAGAGGTTTGTATTGTTCATATTAATGGATTTAATATGAGTAGTCAGATACATGTACATGTATTTGAGAATTTTGAAGGCAGCTGAGAAGATTGCTGCAAACAGGCAAAAGTGGAGGGAATTCTGTGTTGCCTCATGGTCCACTGGGGTCTTCAAGAGAAAAGAAGAATTATAACTCAGAAGACTTGTTCTTTATTTCAAGTTTGCTGAAATTCTTTGTGTGCTCAATAACYTAGACTAACAGAACATGGAGCCATTATGTCTTAAATCTACAGAACAGTTGACGCTAAGCAGATTATAATATTCTGTGTTTATAGGCAATGTGGGAAATGCTGCAGCAAGAGAAACCAGATGATTTTGTCATAGCAACAGGAGAGACTCACAGYGTTAGAGAGTTTGTAGAGAAAGCTTTTGGTCATGTGGGAACTGAAATTGTGTAAGTACACTGTACATGGCTTTAAAGCTGTTTAGACAGAGAACAACCCTGYTGCACTGTATGCAACACTTCTAAGTCATCCTTACAACATGGCTRCAACTGTAGAAGGGCTTATTAAACAATCATTAAGCAAAAGTTGTACTGTAKAATTTGGCCTTTAGGTATAATGTGAGCTAGGGTAGCTTAATCCTTTTCAATTTAAAGCAGCTTGCTTCAGATTTAATCTAAACATTTCAGAAACTTCTATATTCTCAAAGTTGCATTCTGCCCTTACTTATGACAAGTCAGTCCAAATATCCAAACATTGTTAACATTTGTTTATATCCAGTCATCTTGCACATAATATATGTTACCATTAATATAATTATTGTATATCATAATTGTTCATAATTATGATACAACAGTAGAATTCTTACCATATTGCTGGATCAAGCATAGGATATGCACCCCCCTGAAAAATCAAAATGATAATATAATAATAATTATTGAATAATGTAAATACTTTGTTGTTGATGTTTGGTTAGCTGGGAAGGCAAGGGGGATACAGAGATTGGCAGAGATAAATCAASTGGAAAGATTCTTGTCAGGGTGGATCCCAAGTACTACAGGCCTGCGGAAGTGGTAAATGACAGCTGTCAATTATTTCTTTGGTTGTTTGAACTTTATCCCTCTGATATCAAATACTGAATTAGTTACTAATTGTCTACTGGACAGTATTCTTTTATTTATGAAATAATTATTTGCGTGTTTCTTAGGAATTGTTGCTTGGCTCTGCAAAGAAAGCAGAAGAAATCTTGGGTTGGGTACCTAAGACCAAATTTGAGGTAATATTTGTCATTATAAATGGTATAGTGTTGCTGAAATAACAATGCTTATGGTAGGGCAGGAATGATAGGCTAAAGATGCTGCTACACCTTGCAATTTTCTTTGTGTCACAATAACATTGCAAAAGGTTACTGAAAAAGGTTTCATCCTTGATAATTGTACAGACTGTGTAATTTTCTTTGCAACGTGACTTGCAACTGTGTTGGCTGGAGGGGCAACACACTTTGCAATGCCATCTCTGCTGTACAATGTCACCTGCTGTACAAGCAGCAAAAASGTTGTGCAATAACCTGTTTGTACAAAGCTGTTCAAGGACAATTTTCTGCAAATATCACATAGAACTGCAGTAGCACATCGCCATGCTACACATTCAGGCTTGTGAAAACTAAGTACATGCAGGTTAGGGGGAAGACTCTAATATSATTTGGCATTTTTCTGTTTATTATGTCACCTTCACCTTCATTCATCCATTTTTTATCTTTTACTTTTTTTAAAGAACCTTGTAAAAGAAATGGTGGATGCTGATGTAGCTYTGATGAAAGCCAATCCAAATGCTTGATGTCAATGTGTATATTATTTAGTTTTAGCCAATGATAAGTCACATAATACATAGGTATGCACACCTTCAAAATGCAGTTGATAGACTGCGAGAAAGGGGAAATTCCAGGGCTACTAAAAGATTGTATTACAAATATTGTATACAAATTAGGATTCAATTGATATTTACTCAGATTGCAGAAGAAATATCTGCAAAATTACTGCTCTTGAGATTATAAAAATAATCAAAACGGCAGTAGTTAATGTTATTCTATATTTATTATGTTGATGACTACAGTATGATTACTGGGGCATTTACAACACATTAGCTCAATACAACATTGCCTTTGTTGTTTGCCCTATATTTCTACGTTACCAGTGTTATTAAAGGAGATKACTAACCAGCATCAACATATGCTGTAATGGGTTAATTTCCATAGTGGTTTGAAAATACTTAATATTATCATAATGATAGTATTTAAAAAAAATTTACCATATCCTACCATACATAAATATACCATACATTAAATAAATGATTGGCTCAATATGAAGATGGTTTTATTTTATATTTTTTTCACTGAAAGAAAAGATTTGGAAATTAGTCGTCTTGAATTTAGTTCTTGAACAAATGAATAACTTTATTTAACTTTATTTCCCATACTTTTTTACGGTGTTAAACTTATCTTCTTTACAGAACTGAATAACTTTATCCCCCAGTTATTTAATAACATTGTTATACAATTGTTATGACAATAACAAAATACGAGCCATTTCAGTTTCGTGTGACTGTGTGGAGCAACTATTTTTAAACACCTTTCATAAGTTAAAACATAAATATTTAAGTGACTTATATTTCAACTTTAAGTTTATACCACAATACTGCAATACTGTCACCATGTTAGAGTAAATCACACCTAAATTATGCTTATTCCTTTGTTTTCTATTGTTTATCAACACTGTTTAGTATTATTTTAGTACTTATTTGTTTCATGGATTAAGTGCGTTATTTATCAATCTTCTTGCCAGTAGAGTGATCACACTTAAGTTTGACTGTGCAACTGTACACAAACTAAATAGTGCTATTTACATAAACACCATGGCGGACAGAGAAGTGTGGAGGCTTGTAATTGAGCATGTCCTGGTCCATGCCCTGATGATGATGATGATGAATGTCAAGAGTGATAAATTGTAAGCTAAGGACTGAAATTCGTGGGTTGCACTTCAACGATAATGGTTGCAAAATAAAGACCCATTTCTAGTGAATTAGTAAGAATAAGGTACAAGAAGCATTTCTAGTGAACTAAACATTCAATACCGTCTTGCTTCAGGTCCACTTTTAGTACAAATTAATTAGTACTACTTAGATTTTGTACAGTYTTTGTACAGTCTTTCGAGGCTGTCCATCCGAAATCCAACTTAAAACATTTGCCAAAAATCAGGAATTAAATGAAATTGAGTCATTTTTTATCCAAAGCACTTAGAAATTTCCCTAATTTTAGAAAAAAAATCATTTTTCAGGGGTTAGGTGCACTTGAAGTGCGATCACTCTACATGCTACAAGTATTTATAACCATAATTTTAACTACAACCTATAGCTCATCTCTTTTCTTTTCATCCTCTTCATCACTATCATGTTCATCTTCACTCTGTTCSGTTGCACTTTTCTTTTTGTTGGTTTGGTATTCAACTTTGACAGGGCCATGAGGAGCTTCAGAATGCAGTGCAATCATCTTTATATCATCACTTGAGAGCTTCTTGATATCATCCTTGGTAACAAATCCCTTRCCATCTTTGTCAAGATAGGTGTTGAATACCTTAATAGGATCCCGCTCCAATTTTTCCATTTCATCCATTGGAAAAGWATCTTCCACGGCCTCCGAAAACAACTCTGGTGTTAACTTCTCAATTTTATGTTCAACAAGRTAATCAAGAAACAATTTTCGGAATTTCTCAATGTTCATGAATCCCATTTGGATGATTTTATCCCCCTTTTTGTAAGTCCACTGAACATTGACTTTACTCATTGGCGTGTATTCAAATGTTGCTGTGTCACATCCAGTTGGTTCAAAAGTGTTGTTGAGAGATGCTGTGAAGAGCATGGTTGCTGAGATAGTGCGTGCATAAGAGCGAACTTGATGGATATAACCTATAAAGTTAGAATATTTCGGTCAATCCTGTGAAATAAAGGGTGGTACTAGGGGCATACCTAGAATTGAATTTTTTGGGAGGAGGTGGAGAAGTCATGCAGACCACAACAACAAACTTCTTAGTCAAATATTGGTGTGATTCTGTAGTATACAATCATAAAAGTTTTAGGGAGGAGGTGGAATGGGGAAGTCAAGCAGACCACGCCGACAAACTTTCTAGTCAAATATTGGTGTAACTCTATAGTACAACCATGAAGTGTAGAGAGACGACCTCTAGCTTTCCCTGATAAAAGATCAGAGGCATCCACAGTTGGTATATCTCTGATAGGCAAATCTAGAAAGCCTACTGTTTACCATGTAGGACAGGAGTTTCTGGGACCCTCATTCCTATTAGCAGTCAAAGACTTTGACATGAGAGACTTTATGACAAATAAGTAGGGTAACACATTTTTGGATAGTACAAAGGTTTTGAACCCCAGCTTGAAACCACTGCACACACCCCTGTTAGTTGTCTACTTTAGCTTCTCAGCTATGAGGGAACCTCAAGCTAATATAAATGTCCTAATCTATCCTTAGCTATCTTCTATACTAAGACACTTGTATAGGAAATCCCACAACCTTGAGTACAATTGGAATTAACAGTCATTTGCGTAATGTTTTGAATGAGAACTTTCAAGTGACTAATTAATTCCAAATTGTACGAGAGGTTGTGCAATTTTTTGTTTATAGTACATTCAGCGAAACAAAATTTTATAAGGAGCACAATTAACGCTGTAATATTGTACTCCTCTCAACCAATGAAAAAGTATTATTTTGTTGAGTGTACTATAAATTAAATGTTTTTTAAATGATAAAAAATAAAGAGTGTTTCACCTGAGGGAATAAAAATACAATCCCCTGCATTGATAGTTGCATAMGTCCATTCAACACTAGGAATGTCTGGATACTTGTCAAGGTTGATGGAATCTGGGTCAACCATAGAGAAACCTGAGCCAAACTCTGGGAACTGAGGAGAAGATGGATTACATTTAATGCTGGTCAATGAAATTCAAATGAGTGAGAGTAACCACTGCCACCTACAGCATCTGATTCAATACACAACAAAACAAAGACCAGCACTTGACAAATAAGTTGTGCAAAACTAGACAAAAAGTTGTCACAACAATCGAGATTCAATTTTCAATTTTTTTGTAAGAGCATACATTTATAATTCATGCGGGGTACATGTAACTTTTTCTGAACTTATTTGTGCAACACCATTTTCCATGGGGAGTACCACAACAATATAGTTATACAGTAAGATTAAAACAAGACAAAATAAAATAAAATATAGACGAGTGAAGGTATCCTTTAGCAGCATGATTGTGATCAGAAAAAGAATGTATACAAATGTAGCCAAGGATATTCTTCTTCTTGTCATTCCCTGATGATGCTGTAGTACAGCGAAAGCTCTGATTCACGATATACATTTTCAACATCATAGCAGCCTTGGCTACATTTGTATACATTCTTTTTCTGAAAATAAAATATATTCTTCATTTTCAATACCTACCTTAGTAAGTTTGAGTTCTTTTCTGTATTTTTGGTTTATCATGATGAAGTCTTTTCTGCCAGCCACCATGCAGTGGATATTATGGTCTGCATCATAATGAATTACTGACCGTGTCCCYCCTGAACCCATCCAAAAGTTTGTCTCATGAAGATAGTCCATAAATGTACCACATAACAGGCTTGAGACAACCTACATGTACAAAGGACAAAATGGCAGTTATTAGTTAAATATAATTTATATAATCTTTTAAGTATTTTTTTTCTCTACAGTGGAGAATGGGACATGGCAGTCAAACATTTTTTTGATTTTGAATTTCTTAAAGGTTGTATTAAAACAATGAAAACCCAAAAAAATATGGATTGGAAGAACTAGGGATTTAGGCAATTACTCTCTCGAAGATCTGAATAATTTTTCTTGAAGGATTAATTGCACCCTCTATGCCCTCCTCTCCTTTAACTCAAGTGGCYTGATGGCAAAAGAGCAGTACCTTTTAGTTAAATAACCCTTTTAGTTAAATAAATATTAATTAAAATATTCAAAGAAATAAGTGGTATAAAATTTAATTCATATTCAGAGTGGATCGATRCACTTACACTCTGTAAAACAAATACTATACACTACTAGATTAATGTTGATAATAGACAATAGGAAACAATGACATACAGTATAAATCTATTACTATTTTGTACTAATTTCATGAATTTCACTAATTTAAAGGAAGACATTGAACTTTTGATATATAAAATTCTACAACAAAAGTCAACAAACAAATCTAAGTATCAGGTAATCAAATAGACACAGGTGTATTAGTTTAATATSTATTTGATATCACTCTACGTAAGTGTTTTGCCTCTAGAAAAACAATTTCCTATCGAAATTATTTAATCAACTATGAATGCATGTAGGAGTAACTGCAGGGAGTATCATTAAAATGGCTAATAGATATTAAAATGAAAACTGTTAAAATGACTAATTTAAAAATTTCACTTTAAAAATAACTTTATAAAGATCTTGATATTTTAATCAAATCTGATGGTATCTTTTTTGCAAAATTCTTCATATAATTTAATTAAAATTTGTTGGAAGCCATTTAAGTGTTAAAAGGAAACCTTTCAAATTGTCCAAAAAAATACTTAAAATCGGTAAAATTGAATAGCGTGATAAGCTGCACGTCCAGCTTAGATTAAACAGAGAGTGTATTTTTATTTATTTTTTTATTTAAATAAAATTAAAATCAGCTAACGGTTTTATATTATAAWTTTCGACTTGTACCTGAACTTCTTGTCTCATGGGGTCCGGCATGACAGTAACAACATAAATATCATCRTTCTTATAGGCGTCAATAAAATCCCCAAGTAGCAACCGACTCGTCATTCCATGTGTACGATTCTCTTTCTTTTTCTCGATCAAAACATCAAGATCACCATATTTCCCCTTGAGATAATCATCTGTCCACAATGAAATGGCTGGTGATTCAGAAATCCCGCCACGAAAGACCAAAGGAAGATTCTTGCTAACATGATYTTCCCAGAACTTTTCGGGTCTCAGTGGCTTYTYGTACTCGATTAGGGGCCCATTTGGTGGTCTTTGGAAGCCAAAAGCTTTCAGGTGTCCCGGTCGAATGCCCGGAGTARACGAAGGTTGAAATATCGGTGGAAATTCGATGTTTCTGTGTTCGTTGAGTGAGCGAACGGGTACAAAAGTAACTAAAATTGTAAAAACTGCTGAAATTGGATACAAAAAACGGCCCATTCCTGTTTAAAATTGTTGCTGGTGTGTTTCAGAAGGGTCAGCACTTAAAGTACACGTTTGCTTTAGCTTGAAACTTTGCGGAATAAATGCGCAAATTTACAATGCAAATCTGACATTTTTCCGCATTAATAATATGTTATGGATGGATCGATGGGACTCCTGTGGTTCAAAATATACAGAACTTGGGATTCCTGTGTAACCACCATGAACTCAAAGCATTTTAGACTTTAAACTGTAAAATTTTTAACTGTAAAATTGTTAAGCAAATTAATMAGACGACTAAGCAGGAAATCTAAAAATCTCATTATTTTTTATTTTTATTTTATTTTTATTTTTTGCCACAGTGATCAAGTTGCAAATGGCACCTCTACCAAGATTTTACATTGTTCTTTACTTTCTTTTCTTTCTCTGCTCCTCCATGTCATTTGCCTTTTCTTGAGTTCTTTCTCGCCGGGTTCGCCTTCAGGTTTCTTCGGGTCCTCAGGATCGTGTGCAACGGATGGTTCCAGGGGTTCCAGGTCCATACCTCACCCCAACAACAATGTGTCTTATTCACTTATTGAGCACTTTTAATCCCCATGGGTTGAATGAACGCTTTGTTTTCAGACAATTTTAATATCTTTTGTTCTCCTTTTTAGCATCTCTCTTGTTCATTTCTCTTAACACACTATCTCTTGCTTTAATTTTTTACCATTACCGTTACCATGCCTACCTTGCTCCTATTGGTCTACTTTCTTCCCACACTTTACCAAGTTCCAACTCTTTACACCGACAAAGAATTAACGTCCGAAACGTCAATAAGTTATATTTCACCTACTTCTTACGGTGTTAGATTTATCTTTTTACACAACTGTTTCTTTAGAAACACCGGACGCAGCTCACACTAGCTTACCGCTAGTTCCCACCAGTCATAATGTCAAATTGACTTGTCTTGTGCTGGAGAATTGTACAGAGGGATAGAAAAAATAATATTTTGTTCAACAAAATGAATTTTATGGCGAAAAAATTACATTTAGCAATATATTTAAATCATGCTAGTTTATTTCCGGTGACGTCAGCTTCCGGTGGTAGGGTAGAGGTAATTCTATCAATGAAAGAAGCCCTCTCTAGGCTTTTGTTTAATTTTTCCCGCCCTCAGTTGGCAGCTCAGTCACCTGAATGTGATTAATTAAGGTGAGTTCCACACTTTTTTTCAGTATATTTATTTTGTTATTTGTTTGCATATTTGCGTGAAATGACAAAACGATGGAGATGTTCACTTTTTCTTATTCGGGTTTTCAGTTTAGATCCATTTTTTTCCGGTTAACCGCACATTTGTGAGGAAATCGGTTTGTCTGGTTCGATGTTGTTGGTAAGTGAGCTTACTTCGATTCTTTGAAGTTCTTTTTATTTCCGACTGGATTTCGCGCGATTGTATAAATCTCTACTGTTTTGAAGAAAGGTCATTCAATTTATTTGCAGTCGATAACTCCACGATGTTCAAGACCAAGGTCATGATCTTGGGCCAATCATTTGTTAAACGTTTGACTTCGACCATCGTTCATCGCTTCAATTTGGTCTTGATGAATGCAATGTTCGGCTTTTTGGTGTGGGTGGCCGTACCATTCACAAAATTAGGAAATATGATTTCGGTAATGTAGTTCATTTTGCCCCGGATATCGTCATTTTCGAAATAGGAACTAATGACTGATGACCCAATCTTAGACCTGAGGCCATTGGTTCGAAGATTGATGACCTTGCGATGCTGGATGACTAAACTCTCACTATTTTCATTCACCGTGTAAMTACGGTATAGATTTTATGCCACCGGGAATAATCAGTATTTCCAAGGGCAGATCCAAGCCACCCCTTTTATTTGAGTTAAAAAATTAGAAATTATGACATAAATGAATAAAAGAAGATGAAATTTGAAATGAGCAAAAAGCAGCCTTCATTTGCAAGAAATTTAATTTGCACGGACCTTGAAATCTAACTGTTTTTAATACTGATTTTTTTTTTCTTGAGTTATAGTCAAAAACATTTGTAGCGTTGTGAGGATCCGCCACTGATTTCATAAATGTAGTCTTGGCCTGGTCTTTACTCCTGCAATACTAATAAATCTAAATCACCATCGTTGTTGAGAAATCTCTAAATCTTTAATCTATGTACCAGGGTCTCTAGACAATGCTCTAATATTTCAGCCAACTAGATTGAGTTTCGCCTRAGGCGATTCTCTGTATGCTACCTAATCAGCTAGCGATAGACATTTGACAACCGTCCTGTGGATCAATGATCCAATATGTTTTTATTTAACGTCCGTGATTGTTATTATAACGGTTGAGCTCCTCAGTGAACAAATAGGCAATTAGCAAGATAAATAAGCGTTAATTTAACCAAGCTGTGGTTGRCTTTTTACCTCTCGCCCAAATCGTCGATTTGAAACGTTTCGTGCGAAAAGACATTCCTTTGAAGCCCTTTGCATGCTGGGGATGATATTTTGCATTCCTTGCTTCTTAACGGCGAAAGTAGCCTTGGAATTTTTTGAAACAGCATAGGAAAATTAATATTGAGTTTTCGAGTATAGTGATCTTATGTTTTAATTTTGCTCGTGCGCGCGTGGGTTGTTTGCARTATTTTGAGCAGCAAAGCATGGTGGTAGTTGTAGTCCTCGTACTTTATAACCCCTAAAATATCTCCTTAAAAGCCTTTTTTATATCTTCTTTTTTTAAACGGCACAAATACTTCTAATTTCGCTTAGAAAAATCAAAAACTGGTTAGGAAGACTATTTTAGAGGACATAAAAAAATACGAAGAATACAACTACCATCATCCTTTGCTGCACAAAATGGCATCGCTGCACATTGCCTATTTTAAATACAGGTCATTTCAACGAAAACCTTGTAGTTATTGAGGACTGAAGAAAGCAAATACCAAAATGTAGGTTGGTCGCAGGTTCACCGCTCTAAAAGGCTGTTTCCTTTCATATTTACTAAGCCAGCTCTGTTCCTTCGATGGAAATCATTTAAGTTTGAACTTTTCATAATGTAACCCCACCTACGTTGAATCCAAGTAACAATGCATTTCGGTATTGGAACATCAGTTATCATGCGCAAAGTTTTTGAAATTGCTGTATGGAAAAAAAAAACGTGCGTAAGAGACCTGGGACCGGCTATACGAGGATCCATGCGTCGTTTGTMCGAAGGGTCAAGAGCTCTATCCACCGAATAAATCCGTATCCTGCGAAAAATAATGATACAAAATCTAAATGTCTAAAGACTTGATATCTTTGTCCACCATACKTCCAACCTGCCCCTGTGCTGTTMACAATTTAAAACAACTTATAATTTCTGTTTACTRTTTAAGTATTTAACTACACAAAAGGAACACAATTATTTCTTCTGATTGTGTGAGCATTTTTTTTCTAATATACCAATAGATATTGCGTGGATTTTTGAAAACAACTCCACAAATGTTTCGAACATTAGGTGATGGACATATTTAAGTATCATAAGTACATTTTTTTATATTTTGACGCTATAAAACAATTTTCACCTCTTAGCTGCACTTGCCAGTATTTTTTCCCGAATGCAATCGCGTTATTAATGAGCAACAAAGTTTTCTAACTGTTCTAAGCTAAGTTTACTCTAGTTTTCAATGTAGCTAGCGACCTTTGWGAAAAGTACTCTAAAATACATTGTTTATGTCAGACATTTGTAGCAAAAATGTCTCTTTTCATTATTGTCCGATGTAAACAGTTTTTAAACAAGCTAACTTCCCATTCAACTAAGCTGTCATGGGTCACAAAAGACCACAGCAAATCCAGAAGCGCTTTTACTTTTCAGCATTTTTCCCACGAATAATTGTTGTCAGTTTGTTTACTTGGATTTTGTAATCAATAGGGGATTGAAAACGATTCATTCTTTGTGCTTCAGTGTTTGCTTAGCCGTGACAGTGCGAGAAAGCGGATGAGAAATGAGGCAGCCATCTTGAAATTTTCTACTTCTACCACCGTACAAATCTCACAACAAATAAAAAATAAATTTAATGCRAAATAACTTCTTTTGGCTACTTTTTCGTTCTTAAATCAAATTTCGATCAGTTCCTCATCTGAGTTCTGTTCTTTTAAGTCCTCTTAATGGCTTTGTAATTTGTTTAAATTCTTGCGTCAATATTTGTCCATTATGGGTTTTTGTGCTTTAAAACTCTGTCCACATGACCGTGAGAACCTTTATGACATATTTTCCCACGATGGAAAGAATTTCTATTCAACGCTAACCAAACTATTCTTCTTTACGGACAGTAAACTATTTACAATCTGAATATTGAGTTATTTTGGGTCTTCTTGTCAATGGGGCGTTGTTTATCTTTAAAGTGAAGCAAGATGAACTACTAAGTGGTGCAAATTCTATCGAAATCGAAGGATTTGAAGCGCAAAACGCACCACTTTGAGTCAATCATGAACCGTCGATGTAAAACGGCAAATTTTTTGCCAAAGTTCACCAACACAGGAGAAGTTTTCAAGTCTTTTCAGTGCTTAAAGTTATCTTTCTGGCCAAATGCCACTATCAAACTCGAGCACTTWGTTTCCGGCCAGCTATATGAGTATAAAAGTTTATAAGTGAACCAGGATTAGATTTCCAAAACAACCGAAAAAGATGACTGATCTTCATTGACAAGTATAGTAATGATGGCCACCAGTTTTATATCGGCAAAATTGCCAAGAGTTTGGGGCTTTTTTGTGCAAGTGTGACTTGTTTTTGCGATTGGTAAACTTCTCGCGTAAACTTGACATTAACTTTGCCGGTGGTTAAATCTTACCGCGGCCCTCAGAGAAAAAATACTTTATTTATGACAGTAAAATATGTTTTTTCCTGGCAAGATAATGAAGGTCAGCGAGTGGAAGGAAACAAGAAGCAACTGGAGCTTCTTGAATACCTGAATAAAAAACAATTCCTTGCGGAACATSATGCTGTCGSTCTTTAATCAATTCAGAAACACCTCAATGAAGTTTATAGCTGAATTTTATTCATGATTTATTATACTAATTGTTTTTTGAAGTTTTGGGTTGAAGTTTTTAGCTTCTGTTAAATGTTGCTGTTGTTGTTGAGTTTGATGTGAGGATGTGCTTCAGACATTTAAGGCAGACACCGCGGTACTCTWCGCCAAGATCAAGAAATTGCTTGTAGACTCCTTGCTTCAAAAGTGCGAATAACAAAAATGACCTTAGTAAAAAAATGAAAATAAGCAATGCTTTATTGCTAAATTGCATTTTTAATATTGTCGCAGTCTGCCGCGCTTATTCATTCATTCTGTCGCTTCGCCCCCACCTGAATAGCTAGTACATGACATGCACTTCACTAAATTCAATCAAAAAGCATCAATTCCCAATCAATTATCTTTATACGAATGTTTTCTATAATAATATAGTTATATAGGTTTGATTTCTATTAGAAATACTATCGGCGCTTATCAAAATAAATAAATAGTTTTAATATCCTTAAGCAACCAGTCGCAATGCCAATTCCACAAAATTTTGAAAAGGCGTGCATTGATCCCAATTGTGTGACAAATAGAAAATATACTGGCAATTT